CCCACAGGTCTCCCTTACCTCAGAATGTGACCGTATTTGGCTATATTTGGAGACAAGGTTTTGTTTTTTTTTTTGAGACAGAGTCTCGCTCTGTCGCCCAGGCTGAAGTGCAATGGGGCAATCTTGGCTCACCGAAACCTCCATCTGCCGGATTCAAGCGATTCTCCTGCCTCGGCCTCCTGAGTGGCTGGGATTATAGGTGCACACCACCACACCCAGCTAATTTTTGTATTTTTTAGTACAGACGAGGTTTCACCACACTGACCATGTGCTTTGCCCGTCTCGGCCTCCCAAAGTGCTGGGATTACAGGCATGAGCAACCGCGCCCGGCTGCAGACAAGGTCTTTGAAGGTGTGATTATGTGAACATGAGGTCTTTAGCCTGAGCCCTGACTAGTATCCTTGCAAGAAGAGAAAATTTGCACAGGGAGAAACATCAGAAACTTGTCAGCGTGTGGGGCACAGTGGCTCATGCCCGTAATGCCAGCACTTAGGGAGGCCAAAGTGGACGGATCACTTGAGGACAGGAGTTTGAGACCAGCTGGGGCAACATGGCAAAATCAAGTCTCTAATAAAACTACAAAAATTAGTCAGGCGGGGTGGTGCATGCCTGTAATCCCAGCTACTCGTGAAGCTGAGGCAGGAGAACTGCTTTAACCGGGAGGCAGAGATTGCAGTCAGCACTCCAGTGTAGGTGACAGAGTGACACTGTGTCAAAAAAAAAAAAGATCTGGGCTGGGCATGATGGCTCACACCTATAATCCCAGCACTTTGGGAGGCTGAGGTGGGCAGATCACGAGGTTAGGAGTTCGAGAACAGCCTGACCAACATGGCGACACCCCGTCTCTACTAAAAATACAAAAATTAGCTGGCTGTGGTGGCACACACCTGTAATCCCAGTTACTCAGGAGGCTGAGACAGTAGAATTGCTGGAACTGGGGAGGCAGAGGTTGCAGTGAGCCAAGATCGTGCCATTGCACTCCAGCTTGGGCAACAGAGCAAGACTCCATCTCAAAAAAAAAAAAAGAAAATTAGCCAGGCATGGTGGTGCGCACCTGTAATCCCAGCTACCTGGGAGGCTGAGGCAGAAGAACTGCTTGAACCCAGGAGGCGGGGTTTGCAGTGAGCCGAGATCGCGCCACTGCACTCCAGCCTGGGTAACAAGAGCAAAACTCCGTCTCAAAAAAAAAAACAAAAAACGAAAGGAAGTAGAAGGGAAAAATATAACTATTCACGCTGGACATGGTGACACTTGCCTATAATGCCAACTACTCAGGAAGCTGAGGCAGGAAGATCACTTGAGCCCAGGAGTTCAAATCCAGCCTAGGAAATATATTGAGACGCCATCTCCAATAAATAGGTGAAATAACCATCACGGAAGTGAAGATGAAGCTAAAGAGAGCGAAAACAGGCCGGGCGCGGTGGCTCACGCCTGTAATCCCAGCACTTTGGGAGGCCGAGGCGGGCGGATCACAAGGTCAGGAGTTTGAGAGCAGCCTGGCCAATGTGGTGAAACCCCGTATTTACTAAAAGTACAAAAATGAGCCGGGCGTGTTGGTGGGTGCCTGTAGTCCCAGCTACTCGAGAGGCTGAGGCAGGAGAATCCTTGCTTTCTCATTTTTATACTTTATATTGTTTTGATTTTGTTCTCTAATTTTATTTCATTCCTTTTGTTTATATTTTTCCCTTTCTCATTTTTATACTTCATATTGTTTTGTTTTGTTTGTTTGTTTTGAGAGAGTCTCACCTGTCGCCCAGGCTGGAGTGCAGTGGTGCAATCTCAGCTCACTGCAACCTCCCAGGCTGGAGGTCAGTGGTGTGATCTCGGCTTACTGCAACCTTTGCCTCCCAGGTTTAAGTGATTTTCCTGGCTCAGCCTCCTGAGTAGTGGGAATTACAGGTGCCTGCCACCATGTCCAGCTAATTTTTTATTTTTAATAGAGACGGGCTTTCACCATGTTGGTCAGGCTGGTCTCAAACTCCTGACCTCAAGTCATCCGCCTGCCTCAGGCTCCCAAAGTGCTGGAATTACAGCCATCAGTCACTGTACCCAGCCATGCACACATTATGCATGGCTGGGAAAATGAAAAATTACCCAGAGACAGTCCCTGTTAAAACATTTTGATGTATATCCTTCTGTCCTTTATTGATGAATCTGTATTTGGGAAGATTTAATAAATCTCTAATAAAATGAGACACCAGACATAGTTTTTTATATTTTCATGTACATATTTCTTTTCTGAGATGGAGTCTCACTCTGTCACCCAGGCTGGAGTGCAATGGCGTGATCTCCGCTCACTTCAACCTTCACCTCCTGGTTCAAGCAATTCTCCTGCTTCAGCCTCCTGAGTAGCTGGGATTACAGGCGCGAGCTAGCATGCACAGGTAATTTTTATATTTTTAGTAGAGGGAGTACATCTTGTTGGTCAGGTTGGTCTTGAACTCCTGACTTTGTGATCTGCCTGCTTTAGCCTCCCAAAGTGCTGGGATTATAGGTGTGAGCCACCATGCCCAGCTCACGTATCTATTTCTTCACTATCCTTCTATAATATATAAATTTGGGGAAGTTTGCAAAAATGATAATATTCTAACCTTTTAAAATATAGTTTGTGTGTGTGTGTATATATATATATTTTGTTTGTTTGTTTGTTTGTTTTTTTGAGACAGAGTTTCGCTCTTGTTACCCAGGCTGGAGTGCAATGGCACGATCTCGGCTCACCGCAACCTCCGCCTCCTGGGTTCAGGCAATTCTCCTGCCTCAGCCTCCCGAGTAGCTGGGATTACAGGCACACGCCACCATGCCCAGCTAATTTTTTGTATTTTTAGTAGAGATGGGGTTTCACCATGTTGACCAGGATGGTCTCGATCTCTTGACCTCGTGATCCACCCGCCTCGGCCTCCCAAAGTGCTGGGATTACAGGCTTGAGCCACTGCGCCCGGCGTGTTAATATATTTTAATGTAGAGTAGGTACAGTGGCTCACACCTGTAATCCCAGCCTTTGGGAGGCTGAGGCGGGCAGATCGCTTGAGCCCAGGAGCTCAAGACCAGCCTGGGGAAAAAAAATACAAAAATTAGCCAGCACGTGGTGTACATCTGTAGTCCCAGCTACTTGGGAGGCTGAGGTGGGAGGATCACTTGAGCCCAGAAGGCAGAGGTTGTGTTGAGCCGAGATCTTGCCAGTGCACTCCAGCCTGAGTAACAGCATAAGACATCGTCTCAAAAACATAATTTTTTATGTATATTCTCTGTCCTTTTTTGTATAGACCCACGGGGAATGTTTCAAAAGTGAGAACTTACTATACATGCTATTTAAAATGTTGTTTCCCCTTATCAAGAACACCTATTTATGTATTTAATATGCTTCCATCACTTCTTTTTTTTTTTTAAAGAGTCTCGCTCTTGTCCCCTAGGCTGGAGTGCAATGGTGCGATCTCGGCTCACTGAAACCCCTGCCTCCGAGTTCCAGTGACTCTCCCATCTCAGCCTCCTGAGTAGCTGGGATTACAGGTGCCCACCACCATGCCTCTTTAGTTTCACCACATTGGCCAGGCTGGTCTGCAACTCCTGACCTCAGATGATCCACCCTCCTTGGCGTCCCAAAGTGCTGGGATTACAAGTGTGAAACATCGTGTGCAGTCTTTTTTTTTTTTTTCCTCAGGAGTCTGGCTCTGTTGCCCAGGCTGGAGTGCAGTGACACGATCTTGGCTCAATGCAACCTGTGTCTCCAGAATTCAAGCAATTCTCATGCCTCAGCCTCCTGAGTAGCTTGGATCACAGATGTGCACCACCATGCCAGGCTAATTTTTGTATTTTTACACAGACGGTTTCACCATATTGGCCAGGATGGTCTTGAACTCCTGACCTCAAGGGATCCACCCGCCTCAGCCTCCTAAAGTGCTGGGATTACAAGCGTGTGCCACCATGCCTGGCCTCATAACATTTTAAACAGCAGTTATAATAAATCTGCATGCATAACATTCAATGCCTACGCAACTAATAACTAGTCTTCTATTGCGCAATGCTACTATCACATATATAGATGTGTTTGTGATTCTCACATACACAAACCCACCTAAAACCATTATATACCCAGATATTCATTGCAGCCCGAATAGCAGATTAGGAACAACTTAACTTAAACATCAGTCAGTAGGTGACCGGTTAGTTGTGTTTCTTTTGTTTTGTTTTTGAGACAGGGTTGGCTCTGTCACCCAGGCTGGAGTGCAGTGGCAGGATCACAGTTGACTGCAACCTCCGCCTCCAGGATTCCAGCGATCCTCCCACCTGTCTCCCAAGTAGCTGGGACCATGGGTGCGTACCACCATGCCTGGCTCATTTTTGTATTCTTTGCATAGATGGAGTCTGGTTATGTTGCCCAGGCTGGTCTCGAACTCTAGGGCACAAATGATCCCTAGAACGTGAGCCACTGCGCCCTGGCCCCAAAGAACATCACGTACCTATTAACAAGGACTTCCCATTAGTCTTGATATGCCACAATCTCCAAAACACCTAAAAGAATATGGGCCGGGCGTGGTGGCTCCCGCCTGTAATCCCAGCACTTTGGGAGGCCGAGGCGGGTGGATCACGAGGTTAAGAGATCGAGACCATCCTGGTCAACATGGTGAAACCCCGTCTCTACTAAAAATACAAAAATTAGCTGGGCATGGTGGCGCGTGCCTGTAATCCCAGCTACTCGGGAGGCTGAGGCAGGAGAATTGCCTGAACCCAGGAGGCGGAGGTTGCGGTGAGCTGAGATCGTGCCATTGCACTCTAGCCTGGGTAACGAGCGAAACTCCATCTCAAAAAATAAAATAAAAGTATAACACACCCTACAGTGTATTATGAATTGCCCTTTGTGTGGGTAAATGATTACATCCAGGCGTAAGTTTATAAATTCAGAAATCATTCTGAAAATTCAGAGTGTCCAGGGGTAACTGTGCTTGTCTCTAGTGTAGAACTAGAGGCGGGAGGAAGATTTAATTTTCACCACATGCCCTTTGGTGCCTTTTGAATTCAGAACAATTTCCATTATCTATTAAAAATAAAATACAGGCTGGGCACGGTGGCTCACGCCTGTAATCCCAGCACTTTGGGAGGCCGAGGTGGGCGGATCATGAGGTCAAGAGATGGAGACCATCCTGGCCAACAAGGTAAAACCCTGTTTCTACTAAAAATACAAAAAATAGGACGGCCTCCGTGCGGCCGAAGAGCGGATGGACTGGCGGGCAAGTGAGTGAGCCAGTAGTGTGAGGCGCCAGGCGAGGCCGAGCCACGAGTGACATGGGGGACCGGGAGCAGCTGCTGCAGCTGGCAAGGCTGGCCGAGCAGGTGGAGCGCTACGACGACATGGCCTCCGCCATGAAGGTGGTGACAGAGCCGGATGAACCTCTCTCCAATGAAGATCGAAATCTCTCTGTGGCTTACAAGAATGTAGTTGGTGCCAGGCGATCCTCCTGGAGGGTCATTAGCAGCATTGAGCAGAAAACCATGGCTGATGGAAAGGAAAAGAAATTGGGGAAGGTTAAAGCTTACCTGGGGAAGATTGAGAAGGACCTGGAGACAGTTTGCAATGATGTTCTGCCTCTGCCTGACAAGCTCCTGGTCAAGAACTGCAGTGATTTCCAGTATGAGAGCAAGGTGTTTTACCTGAAAATGAAAGGTGATTACTAGGGCTACTTAGCAGAGGGCGCTTCTGGGGAGAAGAAAAGCAGTGTGGTCGAAGCTTCTGAACATGCCTACAAGGAAGCCTTTGAAATCAGCCAAGAGCAGATGCAGCCCACGCACCCCATTCGGCTGGGCCTGGCCCTCGACTTCTCTGTGTTCTACTGCGAGATCCAGAAGGCACCCGACCGAGCAAGCCTGCCTCCTAGCCACACAAGCCTTCGACGACGCCATAGCTGAGCTGCACACACCAAATGAGCGTTCCTATAAGGACTCCACGCTCATCATGCAGTTGCTGCGAGACAACCTCACCCTCTGGACGAGCGACCAGCAGGAAGAAGAAGCAGGAGAAGGCAACTGAAGATCCTTCAGGTCCCCTGGCCCTTCCTTCACCCACCACCCCCATCATCACCGATTCTTCCTTGCCACAATCACTAAATATCCAGTGCTAAACCTATCTGTATTGTTAGCACAGCTACTCAGATCTGCACCCATCTCTTGGGAAGCAGTTTCAGATAAATCATGGGCATTGCTGGACTGACGGTTGCTTTCAGCCCACAGGAGCTCCCTCTGTGAATTGTGCAGAGCGCTGTGTTCTGATGAGGCACTTCACTGTGCCTGTTGATCTATGGGAAATCCAGGCGAAAGTAATGCGGGGAGAGAATTAGCCAGCAGAGGCTGCCGTTGATATTTAAAAGATCCATTTAAAACAAGCTGATAGTGTTTGATTAAGCAGTACATCTTGTGCAGGCAGAAATGAATTCACCCCAGCCGGGCGCGGTGGCTCACGCCTGTAATCTCAGCACTTTGGGAGGCCGAGGCGGGTGGATCACGAGGTCAAAAGATCGAGACCATCCTGGTCAACATGGTGAAATCCCCGTCTCTACTAAAGATACAAAAAATTAGCTGGGCATGGTGGCGAGTGCCTGTAATCCCAGCTACTCGGGAGGCTGAGGCAGGAGAATTGCCTGAACCCAGGAGGCGGAGGGTGCGGTGAGCCGAGATCGTGCCATTGCACCCCAGCCTGGGTAACAAGAGCGAAACTCCGTCTCAAAAAGAAGAAGAAGAAAAAAAAGAATCATGGATTTATTTTTTGTAACTCTTTGGCAATTGTCCTTGTGTATCCTGACAGCGCCATGTGTGTCAGCCCATGTCAATCAAGATGGGTGGGTGATTATGAAATGCCAGACTTCTAAAATAAATGTTTTGGAATTCAATGGGTAAATAAATGCTGCTTTGGTAAAAAAAAATACAAAAAATAGCTGACTGTGATGGCGTGTGCCTGTAGCCCCAGCTACTTGGGAAGCAGGCTAATAGCTTAAACCCGGGAGGCAGAGGTTGCAGTGAGCCAAGATCGCGCCACGGCACTCCAGCCTGGCGACAGAGCAAGACTCCATCTCAAAATAATAAATACGTAAATAAAAATAAAAATAAAAATAAAATACCGGCCGGGGTGGTTTACGCCTGTAATCCCAGTACTTTGGGAGACCGAGGTGGGAAGATGACTGAAGCTAAGGAGTATCACTTGAGCTCAGGAGTTTGAGACCACCCTGGGCAACATAGTGAGACCCTGTGTTTACAAAAATGACACATCACGTGTTACCGAATCACTGGTATTTGGCAGGACAGTGGATACTGGGAACAACTGTGGAGCTCTTTGGAAATTTACCTTAAAAGGGAGGCCTCTCAAAGGCTGGACACCATGACTCTACAAGGCTGTTTTCAAATCTGCCATGAGGACCCAGCATCTAAGCAGCATCCTGAGCCCTAACGGATGGACAGGTTCTGAGGTCTCGACACCCATTGCACCAGTTCTGCAGCTTTCTAAAGGCATCCGGCACTTTCCACCTTTCTATCGTCATCTTTGCTGGGCCTTACAGCACCGCAGGATCCCGGGGGAGGGTGCTTATCAGTCTCGTTTGTGTGTCCCCATGGCACCTAGGGCACCGTCAAGCGCACGGTCCAGAAAGCGCCAATGAAAAGCATAAAAACAGCAAGGGAGCCGGGTGCGGTGGCTCTCGCCTGTAATCCTAGCACTTTGGGAGTCTGAGGTGGGTGGATCACCTGAGGTCAGGAGTTCAAGACCAGCCTGGCCATCATGGTGAAACCCCACCTTAAAAAAAAAAAACAGCAAGGGAAGGAGACTGAGGGGCAGACAGCGCGAGTAAGGGCGGGAGAAGGCCCACCCTACGCCCTGCCCCCAGCGGAGCACAAGCCCAGCTTGCGTCCCGACCTCCTGGGTCCGCAAAGCCGGGCCCCACTTAACCGCGTGGACTGCCGGGCCCCTCCCGTGCGCAATGACGTCCGGACTGCGGCGCGAGGGGTGGGACCTCAACCGCTGTACAGCCACGGACCAATCAGCGGGCGCCGGACGACCCTTGGCCCAATGACGGCGGCGCGCGGGCACGCTGGGGGCGGGCCGGGCGCGCCGACTTTTCCAGAAGACCCGGATAGTGCCTCCCGGCCACGCCGCGCCGGCTCTGAGCTTTCCGCACGCCGTGTCTCTTCCTTTTCCTTCACTGGAGCCGATATGGCGGCGGTGAAGACCCTGAACCCCAAGGCCGAGGTGGCCCGAGCACAGGCGGCGCTGGCGGTCAACATCAGCGCGGCGCGGGGCCTGCAGGACGTGCTGAGGACCAACCTGGGGCCCAAGGGCACCATGAAGATGTAAGGCGGGGCTGGCGGAAGGGCCGAGCGGGCATCGCGCGCCGCCGCCGACCTGGCGGCCCCGGGACCGCGGACTAGGGCCCCGCAGCCACCTTTTCCTCCGTCCTTCCTGATCGGTCCTGTTCCCTGCTAAGTCCCACCGTCCCGGCCATTTCTCCCTGCGTCGATGTCGTCTCCGTGGAGAACAAAGCGGCTCTAGTGCGCGGCGTTCCCCTCCCTCTGGGGCTTCCAGGCACCCTGAAGACTCGGCACAATCTCTGCTGGGACAGGGTGGGCACTGCCGTCCTCCTGCCTGCGGGAGATAACTGGCCCCCCTATCCCCGGCTCCCTAACGTCTGGGAAAAGCCTGTTTTCTAATGGGACTTTTAAATTTAGTTTTTGTTGAAAAATCAGTCTGATTCATTTCTTCCCCTTAAAACAGGCTTGTTTCTGGCGCCGGAGACATCAAGCTTACTAAAGACGGCAACGTGCTGCTTCACGAAATGGTGAGAGGTGCTCTGCTGGGTCAGAAAGGTCTTGATTTTCCGAACAATGTTTGCTTTGTAGAAAGATTGGCAATGTCCATTTTCAAGGCAGGAGAGCATTCAGAAGTGGCGTGTAATCCGTAATAGTGCTGCCAGTGCCTGGAGTGGGACAGCCCTGCCTTTGAATCTCTACTTTTTTTTGCCATTTACAGTCGGAGTTAAAGGACTGTCATTGTATATGAAAGTTAATTATAAGAAAATTTGAAAAATGGAGTGGTGTTGACGTAATCACATGGGCAAGATGCTTAAGGGTGGTTTTTTTCTTTTCCTTTTTTTTTTAAGATGGAGTCTCACTTTGTCGCCCAGATACAGTGGAGGGGCGCAATCTCGGCTCACTGCAATGTTCGCCTCAAGGGTTCAAGCGGTTCTCTTGTCTCAGCCTCCTGAGTAGCTGGGATTACAGGCTCGTGTCAGCATGCCCAGCTAATTTTTGTTTTTTTATGTTTTTTTTTTTGAGACAGAGTCTAGATCTATCGCCCAGGCTGGAGTGCAATGGCGTGATCTCCCCTCACCACAACCTCCACCTCCTGGGTTCAAGCGATTCTCCTGCCTCAGCCTCCAGAGGAGTTGGGATTACAGGCACATGCCACAACGCCCGGCTACATTTTTGTATTTTTAGTACATATGAAGTTTCACCATGTTGGCCAGGCTAGTCTCGAACTCATAACCTTGTTATCTGCCTGCCTTGGCCTCCCAAAGTGCTGCGATTACAGGCCCGAGCCACCGCTCCCGGCCTAATTTTTGTATTTTTAGTAGAGACAGGGTTTCGCCATGTTGGCCTGGCTGGTCTTGAACTCTTGACTTCAGGTGATCTACCTGCCTCAGCCTTCCAGAGTGCTGGGGTTACCAGGTGTGAGGCACTATGCTTGGCCGGTTTTTCTCTTATGAAAATACCAATTTCTCGGTTACATCTGCATCTCCAACTGGAAGGGAGAGAAATCTGTCTCTCTGATTTAACATTTTAAAAGTCTGAGGAATGGAGAATACAGATTATTGAGGGGAGTATGCGTTTTACTCTTCCCTAAATTCCCAAAACTTAGCAATTCAAATCCAAGAAAAGGAAATTATTTCCTGCGGATTTGAGTTCAGAGTAATAGTTAAGGTTTTTCTAGTAGTATACCATGTCACCGATATCCAGCTGAAATATCTTTGTATGGACTTGCTGACTTAGGAGGTGGAGTTTCTGTTTTTCATTTTTTACCCAGATTTTACAACTGTACCTCCTAAAATGAAAGCTCAACAGCCTCCACTGTTACTCTGCAGTGACCAAATAATTTAAAAGGAAAAGTGAGGTGTGGTAACTCATGCCTGTAATCCCAGCACTCTGGGAGACCAAGGCAGGTAGATTCCTTGAACTCAGAAATTCAAAAGCAGTCTGGGCTACAGGGCAAAATCCTGTCGAGATTGTGCCACTGCACTCCAGCCTAGGTGACAGAGTGACAGTGAAACGGTCTCCAAAAAATATATATATATGTATATTAAATTTGGATTTTAGTGTGAGAAATACAGCATAAGTAGAGAGAAGCACATTGAACATTCACAATTCAAGTAATTATAGGCTGAGCATGGTGGCTCATGCCTGTAATTCTACTACTTTGGGAGGCCGAGGCAGGTGGGTCACCTGAGGTCGGGAGTTCGAGATCACCCTGACCAATGTGGAGAAACGCCGTCTTGGCTAAAAATACAAAATTAGCTGGGGGCATGGCGGTGCACACCTGTAATACCAGCTGCTCAGGAGGCTGAGGCAGGAGAATTGCTGGAACCCGGGAGGCAGAAGTTGCAGTGAGTCAAGAGCACACCATTGCACTCTAGCCTGGGCAATGGTAGCAAAACTCACTCTCAGAAACAAAAAAGAAAAAAGAAATAATTGTAAAATGGACACAGGCACCACCACTGTAGCTAAGAAATAAATCGTTGCTGTCACCTCAGAATTCCCCTCCCACAACACTTCTCTCTAGTCTCCAGAAATCTGTTTTTCAGTTTTTTTTTTTTTGAAAAAATGACAAACCTACAAAAGTGATAATTATTATTTTATTTATTTATTTTTGAGACGGAGTTTCGCTCTTGTTACCCCGGCTGGAGTGCAATGGCGCGATCTCGGCTCACCGCAACCTCTGTCTCCTGGGTTCAGGCAATTCTCCTGCCTCAGCCTCCTGAGTAGCTGGGGCTACAGGTGCACACCACCATGCCCAGCTAATTTTTGTATTTTTAGTAGAGACAGCGTTTCACCTAGTTGACCAGGATGGTCTCGATCTGTTGACCTCGTGATCCACCCGCCTCGGCCTCCCAAAGTGCTGGGATTACAGGCTTGAGCCACTGCGCCCGGCCAAAAGTGATAATTATAATGTGTGTACCCTTTACCTAGATTCCCCTATTGTTTATATGTTGCTCCAGTTATTTTCTATTTTTCCCCTGAATCGTTTAAAAGTAAGTTGCAGATACACCATTTTACCTCTGAATACTGTTTTTTTTGGCTTTTTTTTTTTTTTTTTTTTTTTTTAAGAAACAGAGTTTTGCCATGTAACACAGGCTGGTTTTGAATTACTGAGTTCAAAGGATC